CTTCAACACCTTTGAAAATGTCTGGCCCCTCCGACCGTCGTTTTGACTTGAACCTTGTTGAAGAGGCAGCCCCGCCTTCTCCAGACAACATATGGCGCCCATCCTTCGTCTCCTCTACTGGTCATCTTACCGTTGGGGATTCCGTGATGAAGAATGATATGACCGCTGCGGTAGTGGCCAGGAATCTTCTCACTCCCAAAGATAACAGACTACTTTCCAAACGGTCTGATGAGTTGGCTGGTAAGGATTCTCTGGCTCTTAGTGTTCAGTGTGCAGGTTCTGTGTCTAATATGGCCCAACGCCTATTTGCTCGAACCCGCCAAGTTGAATCATTGGCGGCTGAAGTGATGAGTCTCAAACAGGAGATTAGAGGGCTCAAGCATGAGAATAAACAGTTGCACCGGCTCGCACATGACTATGCTACAAACATGAAGAGGAAGCTTGACCAGATGAAGGAATCTGATGGTCAGGTTTTACTTGATCATCAGAGATTTGTGGGTTTGTTCCAAAGGCATTTATTGCCTTCGTCTTCTGGGGCTGTACCGCGTAATGAAGCTCCAAATGATCAACCTCTGATGCCTCCTCCTTCTAGGGTTCTGTCCAGTACTGAGGCTCCGAATGATCCCCCTCCGGTGCCTTCTCTTTCTGGGGCTCTACCGACTGCTGAGACTTCTTCTAAGCAACCTTTGTGAAGGTTCCCTCTTGTTTGTTTATTTTGACTCAAGTATATGTACATATTTGTAACTTATCGAGGATATCAATAAATAAGCTTTCCTTCATTTCAACGTATTGTGTTAAATCACCAAAGCCTTCTTCGCTAAGTTCTTTGAATTTTCTTTTGTTGAAGCTTGTATGTTGAAGCTTTGTGAGTGGAGCATGTAGGTTGAGGTAGTGTTCCCTTAATTTCCCGAGCGAGGACAACTTCTCGGTTGGAGACTTGGAAAATCAAAGTCACTGAGTGGGATCGGCTATATGAATCTTAGAACGCCATTGTGTTCTGTCCTGTGTCATGTCCTCCGTTAGATCCAAGTACTCTAAGTCTTTTCTTAGGGTCTCTCTCAAAGTTTTCCTAGGTCTTCCTCTACCCCTTCGTCCCTGAACCTCTGTCCCATAGTCGCATCTTCTAATCGGAGCGTCAGTAGGCCTTCTTTGCACATTTCCAAACCACCGTAACCGATTTTCTCTCATCTTTCCTTCAATTTCGGCTACTCCTACTTTACCCCGGATATCCTCATTCCTAATCTTATCCTTTCTCGTGTGCCCACACATCCAACGAAGCATCCTCATCTCTGCTACACCTATTTTGTGTACGTGTTGATGCTTCACCGCCCAACATTCTGTGCCATACAGCATCGCCGGCCTTATTGCCGTCCTATAAAATTTTCCCTTGAGCTTCAGTGGCATACGGCGGTCACACAACACGCCGGATGCACTCTTCCACTTCATCCATCCAGCTTGTATTCTATGGTTGAGATCTCCATCTAATTCTCCGTTCTTTTGCAAGATAGATCATAGGTAACGAAAACGGTCGCTCTTTGGTATTTCTTGATCTCCGATCCTCACCCCTAACTCATTTTGGCCTCCATTTGCACTGAACTTGCACTCCATATATTCTGTCTTTGATCGGCTTAGGCGAAGACCTTTAGATTCCAACACTTCTCTCCAAAGGTTAAGCTTTGCATTTACCCCTTCCTGAGTTTCATCTATCAACACTATATTGTCTGCGAAAAACATACACCAAGGAATATCATCTTGAATATGTCCTGTTAACTCATCTATTACCAACGCAAAAAGGTAAGGACTTAAGGATGAGCCTTGATGTAATCCTACAGTTATGGGAAAGCTTTCGGTTTGACCTTCATGAGTTCTTACGGCAGTCTTTGCTCCTTCATACATATCCTTTATAGCTTGGATATATGTTACTCGTACTCCTTTCTTCTCTAAAATCCTCCAAAGAATGTCTCTTGGGACCCTATCATACGCTTTTTCCAAATCTATAAAGACCATGTGTAAATCCTTTTTCCCATCTCTATATCTTTCCATCAATCTTCGTAAGAGATAGATTGCCTCCATGGTTGAGCGCCCTGGCATGAACCCGAATTGGTTGTCCGAAACCCGTGTCTCTTGCCTCAATCTATGCTCAATGACTCTCTCCCAGAGCTTCATTGTATGACTCATTAGCTTAATACCCCTATAGTTCATGCAATTTTGTACATCGCCTTTATTCTTGTAGATAGGCACCAAAGTGCTCGTTCGCCACTCATTTGGCATCTTCTTCGTTTTCAAAATCCTATTGAAAATGTCAGTGAGCCATGTTATACCTGTCTCTCCCAAAACTTTCCACACTTCGATTGGTATATCGTCTGGGCCTACTGCTTTTCTATGCTTCATCTTCTTCAAAAACAACTAAACAAATCTGGGTCTATCAACCCCCCATAAATCTTACTGAACTAAACCACCAACACCAGCCTAAAAAATATGACATCCATACTCTAAAGAAGGATTGATTCCTGCTAATGTATCCGCAACATAGTTTTCTTTTCTGCTTTTCGAATTCGGCCGTCGGAAAGCAGGAATCCTAGTGATGTAATTCCTGGATCTGTGGCTAAGCGTTTTAGGTCAGAGTTCCGATTTGAGGATGATTTTGTAGAGGAAATTCCAAGTTTGAATGTTACCCCTCCTCTGAGTTTCAAGGAGAAATTGTTAGGGACTACTACCTTTAAGGAATCGAGCTTTCTAAGGGCACCTTAAAATTTTAAGCTCCTTTTTTTTTTGGTTTTACAAAGCAAGCTCATGTTTACAAATTCTGACAATATTTGTTAAAAAATACCTAATTTGGTTACTCTTATATATATATATATATATATATATATATATACATATACATACATATATATATATATATACATATACATACATATATATATATATATATGTTGTGAGATATGTTGCATGCTCAAAACACAAAATTCATGCATGGTGATATACACACACACATACATATACATATATATATATATGTGTGTGTGTGTGTGTGTGTGTGTGTGTGTGTGTTGTGAGATATGTTGCATGCGTTGAATTTTAGGTTTTTACTCGCTTCTGCCAGATCGTTGATATGTGGGAAACGTTGGGACTTGAAGACATGGAAATACATGCAAGTCGTGGAAGTGTGAAGAGTAAGAGGCAGTGTTGATGAATTAATGCAGATGGGAATGATGGACATTTGGCTTTCAAGTTTTTCATGGATATACTAACGTTAAGTCGACAGGTTTCAACTAAGACGGGTCAAAGCTGATCAGAAGCTGACTGGGGAATACTTTAACTACTACTTTGGAACTGGAGAATTCGACAACTGGATTAGCATGCATGGAGACATATTCATATCTGATGTGGAGGTAACATCCAGGGATCTACTTATTTGGTGGTGAACTTATCCACTTTGCTAGACTATTCTATTTCTGGTAATATGGAGATCATGGGTTTTGTGTATATTAAAATACGTATCTTTAATTAATATTAAACGAAGACAACACATTATGTGTGTGTGTGTGTATATATAAATTTTAAAAGAAAAAAAAAACTATAATATGAAAAAACAGAGAAATTGAAGAGAAATGTGAGAGAAAATAAACCATTAGCGTTGATTCTTTCCTCATAATCATATCCACTATTTTGTATACAGGTTCTTGTCTAAATATGGGGGGTTTCAAGTTGGCATAACTTTGACTTGCGGTAGCAACTGGCTTGTTGTGTGAAGTGGCGGATTTAAGATTCTAATATCGGATGATCCCAATTAAGATACGTTAGGCGCTAATTAGGACGGCGAGTTGGGACCTAGCGCCTATGCGTCTAAACGGAGTCTAGAAGGATTAGATAGATTTAAGTAAATTTATTGCATCATATAAATAAGTGTCTTTTTACACTTAAAAAATGAAAAAATGAAAATGGGGAGTTGGTTTCTTGGGAAATGGAGCAAGAAAGTCTTTCTTCTTTGTTGGAATCAAAGTTCAAAGAACAACAAAGGCATGGTAGTCTTCTTTGTATTCACATTTATCTATATTAGATCTTTCACCATGATAATCTTCTCTCTTCCACCACTTGGTCCTCAAAAATCCTAACAGGAGCTTCTTTCGACTTTCAAATGGTCCCAGGACCACCTAGATCCATGAATAGATCCACCCCTAATTGTGGGACTCAACTTAATTCCTCACCTCTTTAAAAAAAAAAAAAAAAAAAAAAAAAAAAAAAAAAAGCTGCCAAACTTGATTGATGGCGTGCTTAGTTGTATATGGCAACTTAAGTAAAGCACATTGTCTTTACATGTCCTCAACTGAAAGGTCGGTCAAACTCTACATACTAAAACATGTTCTACATGACTGCCTTCAGATACAAACATATATATGATAACATTATGTCTCACATATTCAACTGCAAAAATTAAAATTTGTTATTTGAGTAAAAGGGTACAAAACGCAGAGCATGTCTGTAATCTAAGCAAGTACAATCCATTTGAGAGTTGGTTTGAGATTGTGATGCTTTAAAAAAAAAATTATTAAAAATTCAGAACATCAAATGCGTTTGGTAAGACAAAAACAAAGTGGTTTTTTTTTAACTGTTGTTAATGACGGTAGAAAACTAGAAACAAAGTTTACCATGCTTCTAAGAAAAGTTTTTTTTTTCTTTTCAAAAGCATGCCAATTTAATGAAATTTTTAAATAGAAAATATACTCCACTTATTTTACAAAATTACAATTATTATCTTTACATTATTCTCTTTGATAATTATTATATCATATTACCATATCCTTTTAGTCCTTTAACATATTCACAACAATTTATATAAAAATTTACCAAATAGTTAAAAAACTTTTAACAAAAAAAAATTTACCAAACACTCAACAAATTTATTTTACAACTATTTATTCTCACAACACAACATAAACAATTTTTTTAAAAAACAGAACAATACCAAACTAGCTCTAACAGAAATCAAAAGTATTCCTCGAGCAAGAGCAGAGCCAAAGGCCCAAAACAAAATATCATTGACAGCAATATAAAAAGAAAACATCGAAACTGTATCAAACTTTTGTTCATTGCAAATAGAAATGGAGCGGAGCAACATGCCCCTGGCGTCAGGTTATGGTCTGCATGATTACGCAGTCATGTATCTATACATTTTCCAGTTTTAATGTGCGATAAATTTGGAAGTATGAAGTTACACCGTGATCTTAAAGGTGAAGTTGGTACTGGTACTCAATGAGGATGTTGTTGCAGCAAGAAGCAAGAAAACTAATCCTTTCTGCAGCAGGGTTTCACACAACACTTGATTCCCTTCACAAATAAATGGATGGTCTGGTCCTTGATATGCCTCCGTGCTGAACCGACTCTCGAGCTTGACCATGAAGAATACAATGTCTCTGCATTCTCTCTGGAGAAGCCGTTAATGCTAAGGTCCAGTAGCTGCAAATTTTTTGCCATACTAACGGCGGTAGAAAGCTCTTGAATAAACTGGCTCCTAGAAGACGAGGAAGTACTTTGCCACGGGCTTGTGCAGCTGTCATCAAATTCATGTGCAGCAGTTTCAACTTTTTCTTGATCATCTTCACTATCAGCAACTTCAAGCATATCTAAATCAGTGTTCGCTTGGCAGGAACCTGGTTGAGCAGGATTAGCTTCCTTTGGTGCAGATGAGGTCGGAGTAGATTCAGAGTACTGTTTTTCCACATTGGCGTTATCAGCAAGGTTTAGCTCTTCAAGACAACCATTATCTGCTTGAAACATCAAACAACAAATTATTAGTTCACTTCTAGGGACTAATATTTGGGAGTTAGGACAGAGGGGTGAGCTTAGTGGTGTGAACCCGATAGTGCTTGGATTATTCGAAGAATTCCAGCAGTCCCAAGCTTGCACTTTTGAAGGGACAACACTTTCAGAGAACATTGAGAATCCAAAAGCATTGATGATAACGCATTGCTACCCTGTGTTCATAGTTATGAAATGGAATTAATTAGAAAAGCATGGACTACCCTTTTTGTCTTGGTAAGATCCAAGAAATTCTCTCATGGCAGAAGCTCATTCTTAGATTAGCAAAGAGACTAATGACAACATTCTTCAGGCTTATCAGGGCTATATCTGCATGTAATTCTATATAAAAATGATCTAGATCAGCTTTTGACTGAGACAACTCAAATACAACCGTCTTTTAGAACTTTTATGGTAGCGAAGCTGACAAGCAAGTTCATATTTGAAACTTATAATACAATTTCCAGTTTTCAGACATAGTATTACTTGCTGCTTCTGCCACCAATAAAAAGCGGTTTCTAGTTGCAACAGAGAGCAGAAACAAGGCAAACATAACAAGTTTGACATTTAGCAAACCCCGAATCAAAAGAACAAACCTCCTCCATGATAGGATTTCCCGAAAGGTTCAGCTCAACAATGCCACAGATCATAGAAGAATCAGTGCTTAGTTTGTGAACATAATTTGACGTCACTTCACATTTTGAAAAGTCAAGTTTCACAAACTCTGAAGTTTGGCTGAACAATGACTCAGTTAATAGTAATGCCCCATCCTTCAAAAGAAAAATAAAATAAACAAAATTGGAAGAAAGCCAGAAAGGAGTCGGAGAATATGCCTAATGATGTAAATCAAACAAAAGTGAGAAGTTAATGCAAAATGACAGTGCACTCACAATACCAATTCCAGTCTCCCGAAGACTTAATCCTGACAAGGACAAGGTTTTAGCAAGCTTGCAAAGGCTATCAACTACAGACTGTTTTAGCTTCAGTCCATTCAGACTTAATTTTGAAAATCTGCATAAGAAAGAAATTTGTATATTCGCACCAATTAGTGGATAGAGTTACCTATGCATACTGAAAGAAAGATTGATTTTGTTTAGATCTAAACCTTTTCAAAGTGCCAAGCTTGGAAAGTAAATTAATGATGGTATTTTCGCGAATTGAGTTATATCCTGTGGAGGGAGAGGAATTGAGACAACCTATTAAGTGATCAGAAAAATAGTCCAGCCACTAATGTGTATTGCAATTACCATATGTCAAGCATACCTATACAAAGTTGCTCAAGCACAGAATCTGCATTCAATGCATCGGCAACCTTTTCAATTGTTGTACACGTGACAGAACAGCGCTCTATGCTCAAGCTGCAAAGAGCTACAAAGCAAAGTCCCATATAAGCAGGGATGATTTAGTGTTACTTTGAACAAAATCCATTAAAAGAACTAGATTTACCAAGAAGCATATACGCTACTACACATCAACAAGGAACAGAAGAAGTTTAAATGCTTGAGCTTCACGGAAAGCACTTTACCCTTGCAATTTTCTAAGATAATGGAGAGGCAAGATGCACATCTATCAGTAAGAGGATTTTCAGAGATATTGAGCACTTCCAATCGAGCAAATAGCGAAGGGCATTCACAAATCTGAAGATTGAAACACAGAAAATGGTTGGGGACTGATAGTGAGTACAAAAAGGCCTTACCATTGTCCTGCTAACAGAAAATTAAATTATATAGTTCCTACTGAAATAGTCATTGCATATAATAAAACTACAAAAATCCATGATCCAATAGTCATTGCATATAATGAAGTTTCAGTCTTTAACTGGTTAGGGGAAATTATTCATTTGCCATTTTTTTCTGAACTTAAGCCATTAGACTATGCAATAACAACTCACATTATAATAGCCTGCATTAGGAGCTTAGGAGGTGAAAATTACAAGGATGCAAACTCCAGATCTCTTGCTTTGATACCATTATTCTAAAAACTTACTGGGACAGAGTTAGATACTGGGGAGCTTTGGGCATCAGTTTTGAATGAGTTCAGGGATTATTCTCATTCTTCTACGATGATGGATGTGCTAGCAGCTGTAGAATGAGTTTGGGTTAAAACTTAGATTTTTGTAAATTAGCCCATTTTGAGAGGTCGGATCTGGTACATTAGGTTTGATCTTAGATGGTGGATTTCTTATCCACAATATAGCCATCTGGCAACAAACAAAATGATAGATGAAGTTTCAGTCTTTAACTGGTTACAAGGAAATTATTGGTTTGCCATTTTTTCCGAACTTAAGCCGTTAGACTATGCAATAGCAACTCAAATTGTAATAGCCTGCATTAGGAGCTTAGGAGGTGATAATTACTAGGATGTAAACTCCAGATCTCCTGCTTTGATACCATTATTCTAAAAACTTACTGGGATAGAGTTAGTACTGGGCAGCTTTTTGGGCATGATTTTTTAATGAGTTCAGGGATTATTCTCGTTCTTCTAAGATGATGGATGTGTTAGCAGCTGTAGAATGAGTTTGGGTTAAAGTTTTGATTTTTGTAAATTAGTCCTATTTGAGAGGTCTGATCTAGTACATTAGATTTGATCTCAGATGGTGGATTTCTTATCCACAATATAGACATCTGGCAACAAACAAAAGACGGGAGAGAGTCAAAGTTCACTCTTGCTTGCACTTTTTCTTGCATAAACTCAATACTTGGGAAAAACATGTAGGTGAATCAATCAAAGAAGTCAGCCTAAGCTTTAACATAAAAATTGTTGCAACGCTGGTTAAATACCTGAGCCAAAGAAGTTATACTAAATCGGTTGAAGTGGAGATCCAACATCAACCCAGCATACTTTTGGCATGATGATGTGATTACTTGCTGCAGCTTCTTCATTGTATCAATTCCTGGAAAACAATGAGCCAATAAACAGTTAATACAGCCCACAATTCCTGGGATAATTTTTTAGGCCTGAGTCTAGGTGAAGAATGTTTACAGAAAGGCTACTCCATAATTCCTAGTCCAGAAGCAACATTTTCGAATCTAAATAACCGTAGCCTAGAAATCAGATGCTATAGTGTTACCTAACGCATTGTGAGAAAGGTCTAGCATTCCAAATGTTTTATCTATATGCAGGGCATCCAACAATGGGGCTAATGAAAAGTCTTGCAGTCCACAATCAGACACACTAACATCATCATCTGAGACCTGACAGACGAAAAAAAATACCACAATCAGCAAATAGAGTAAAGGTCCAAACAAAAATATGAGTTTATCATCTCACAATAGATTGTAGAATACAGAACAAGGATGTCCTCACTCAATTTTCCTCCAGCCTTACCTCCTGCTCATAGAGTTTCTTAAGCAGCTTCATATTGGGTGTCGCAGATGACTTATAGCAGCAATCAGTGTATAGTTTTATCAACCTCTTTTGAACCCATCCTGTGTTGGTAACAGGTGAAGTTGGATTGCATATTAACATTATTAACATACAAGAAAGAAGTTGGAAAATAATATATTTCCTTTTAGAATCTTATGTTATTCCTAGCAGAAACTATAAACAAATTTACAAAAAATCTAAAATCATATGTACATATCCTTGTAAACAGAAAACCATAAACATCCAAGTTGGAATTTGGAATCATGACATCATGGACTCTGAAAAGTATTATCTGGTTTGCACAATCCACAAGAAAGTAATAACCCCACAGAACCACAAGAAAATCCCAGAAAAATAAAAACAAATCAGATGCATTGTGAAAATAACTCCAAAGGACTAGTTTGTTGATTGCAATTACAAAATAGTACATTTTTTAATAGGATTACAATTATAACATAACCATGTTGTATCCAATTGAATAGTGCCTTCAATCAGTTAAATCTTAAATGACGTCATGTATTTTGAATGAGAGTCGCATTTCCAACAAAACAGAATAGAACACAGTGCATGTCTAAAATAAAAGAAGAGTTCAAATAGACATGTCATTTAAATGAAGATCAGAACATATGAAGTGAGCTTCGAACTGTTGGAGCACATACCATCAATAAAAGCTTCAACCAAGGCTTTCCCCATATGCTGCTTAAGCATTTCAAATGCTTCCAAGGATTCTATAACTCTCTCGCCCCATTTTATATTCTTTATTTTTGGAAGCAGCCCTGAAAATGCACAATCTAAGTATTAGTACGATCACAAGACGTTTTGAAGAAAACAGATCATTTAACATGAGAGAGAGAGAGAGAGAGAGAGAGAGAGAGAGAGAGAGAGAGAGAGAGAGAGAGAGAGCAATAAAACACAATGGTGCCAAACTCTTAAGGATAAAACCTAGAAAAATTTAAGCATTCAATTTAGACACATGAAATGAACTAAAGAGCACATAAAAAGTTCCAAATGCAGGCAAGCTTAACCATGTCTAAGCCACTTGGCCGGAATTTGTAGTGCACCACTGAGACAAAGTAGCCTACTCTTTTAATTGTGAAATCACCAACTTAGTATGATTATTTCAGCAACAACACCTCTGTATGTGCCACAATACAGATAACAATACAGCAAAGTTATTTCAAACACCCTAGTGTTTATATCATGCACAACTACCTAGTTTTCATCTTGGAGAATAGTGAAATGTTTAAAAAAAAAAACATTCAAATTCTTTCCTTCCTTAAAAATGAATACAAATAAAATAAAAATCTCTGCATGAAATAACATATCCGCTGCAATTCAGTGAATCATCTTGCCAACATTTTAGTGATATAAATACTAGCAACTAGAAACATGCTAAACTCGACTGATGCCTACCCTCTGATCTTCTTTCTATAGGAAGCCGTAAGTAGTATAAGCATGCCAGTTCAGTCTTGATAGACTCAATGCTTAACTTATCAGAAAATGAGTCATAATCCAAATGTATTAGGTCTCTGTCAATCTTGAATGTAATGCATTGCTGCAATTAACAAAGAAGACCACAATTTAGTAAATAATACAACTAAAAAACAGTGGCAACAAGGTATCAGAGACATAGAACCAAATAGAACCATCTGCATACAAGTGAGTTGAGTAGCACTCACATTGTGTTCATCGTCAGACGTAAGAAACATAAGATGGGCAGCATCATTGTCATACACTACATTTTTAGAGACACTGGTGTCACCTTTAGAGCCATTAGCAACAATAGGACTTCCATCGGATCTTAAAGCTTTAAAACCTTTGCCTTTTTGAGTGATCAAATTAAGATTCCTGGATTTGCATGAACTAGAGCTTTGTTCAATATCAACAGGATCGCAAAACCTCATGGCACCATTTGTGGTATAGGCTGAGACATCCTACAAAACCCAAAGAAGAAAGCACTTAAAATACATCTACAACACTAGGGCGACAATAATCTCCATGATTAATCTGATACTAGCCCTACCTGAAATATACGAGCAGGACTGGCTGTGTTACTTTTACTCTTCACTGCAACCAGATAAGAAATATAATTGAATGTTATGGCTTTTCACTGTGGTTATAATTGAAGATCAAATTAGTCATTGATTAAAACTTACATTCATCAGATGTAGCAACAAATTCTAATGGTTGTTTCTTAGACCAGCTTTTTGAGCAGGGTACCTCATCTTGCATTTCATCTTCATCATCAGAAAGGACTAAACGAACACGTTTACGCCCAATGACTGTCCGTTCATTGGTGTCTGTCTTCGACAAATTTTTTGATGAAACATTTGTCTGGATGGTGTTATTTTGTTTTCCTGAAGGAGTGGATTTCACCTTGAGTGAATCTTTGGTGGAACATTTGAGAGAAATTAAAGGTTCATCATCGTTTAACTCTTCCATACTGGCTAAAGACTGTGATCTGCTGGAACTAGATTTTCTAATCTCTGAAGAACAGCATGCATTATACACACCATCTGACAGATGACCACTCCCTTCTGTATCAGATTCAGAGCAGCGATCCTCTGCCACATTCTCTGTTTCAAGATCTTTATGTTCTGATTTCTTCAATTCTTTAATACGAAACTGCAATCTCCTACAAAGAACCATCTGCCCTTAAAAACAACTTATAGAAAACTCCATCCAAAAAATGATGCAACAAAAACCAATACTGACTATAGTGCATATTTTCTAGTATTAGCTGAAGGTTTAGCCTCAACAGCAAGCCTGCAGGACAGTAGTATGAATTCAACACAACCCTTGAAAGCAAGTAAATTTCATTTTAGGTCAGAAAAGAACTAAGTTTCTTTTGGAGGTCATAAAAGAAAGTTATACAGTTATAGCCAAATTTACAAATGAATGGTACTCTAACTTAAGAGCTAGAGTAAGTACCAACAGCTCATATATGGAAAACAAACTCAACACAACCCAAATACTGAGGTTGGCTACATGACTCTTTCACAAACACCTTGGGGGTACTCAAGAGTCAGAATGAACTCTCTTTCATACAAGTCTCTAATATAAATCACCTATAATAAATAAATTTCAATTCATTTTTGGTTTGGACGTTTTTTTTTTCTCTCGGTAGTGAACTCCCTGAGAACCATTAGGACACGCGGTATTACTTAGGACTGCTAAAATTTTCAAATGAATAAAATAATATCTAAAAATCATATCAAGATATCACGCACCATGTGAATTGCGATGACAATGTTAAAACTAAAAGCAGCAGTTTATAAAAGTGAACAAGGGAAACTTGAATTGAAATAAAATGTGCATTGTGATCAAGTACTATCTTTAAGGTTCTTAATGAGAATTACTTAATGCGAAAACAAGCTGGTTCTGGTTTGGAAAACTACTAATCATGTACATTATAATACTAGGAAAACTGGTGCATTGCTTTCTATTTAAACACCTATGTACTCTCTCACTGAGCTATGAAAAGATAATATTCCTTTTATTTTCTGGAATTTATTTTTGATATGTTGAATATAAGCATACTATCCACACCCTACGACAACACCTACAACTTATTTGTCATGAAAAAATGCATTTTGAATTTTTTTATATTAAACCAATCGGTAATGTATTTTCCATATGAAGAACTCCACTGCACCCAAATGCATCTAGTGGCTAAGCTTGATAAGCGGATGTAACAAGTAAAGTTGTTGTACCTGGCATTACTTCTATACAATTAATTTAAGCAAATTACTTCTTTTCCAGGACACAACTCATGATGTATAATGTTATATCATATTAGTGCATTATTTTCTAGTGCCATTAGCTGCACCGAAGGAAGGTTAGCCTCACAGCACTTCTGCAGGACAGTAGTTGAATTCAACACAACCTGAAAGCACAGTAAATTCCACATTTTAGGTCAGCAAAAGAACTAAATTTCTTTGGAGGTCATAAAAAATTATACTTTCATATGAGCCAAAATTTAAAATGGATGGTACTCTAAACTTAAGAGCTATGGAGTAAAGACCAACAGCTTCATATATGGAAAACAAACTCAACCACACCACAAATACTGAGGTTGCCTTACATTGACTCTTCACAAATCACCTTGGGGTTCAAGTGTTTTTGGTAGAAATGAACTCTCTTAATCAAGTGTCTAACCTCACCAATTAATAAATTTGTAAAAATTTTTCAATTCATTTTGTTGTTGACGTTTTTTTTTTCTCCATTACAGTCCTCTCCACAAACCTTAGGACAGCGGATAACTTAGGCTGCTTCATAAGGTTGAAAGAAGTCAATTAAAAACATATTCCTATTCACGCAACCATGTGACGGCGAAAGACAATGTTAAAACTGTGGCTCCTTGGATTCTTGTGAAGCTTCATAGCAAGACTTGAATATTTTTTAGGCATTCCGAATCGAGCAGTGTTTCATAAATAAGACCTTAAAAACATTTCAATCAAAATTTGGTAGGTGACCAGTAGGGTATGTGGCCCTTTTGCTGCTCAACAAGATTTATATTCAACTCCTCACGAACATGTTAAATGTTTTCTTCTGCAACAAAAAGAGGTGAAGTCTCCCAAATTTTTCTTCCTCCGGAAAATACAAATGCATCACAACTAATTCCATCATAAACAATTTAAAGGAGCTAAGGAGAATTTATTTCCCTTTTAAGAACTACACAGAGGACAATTTGAACCATATGAAAAATCCCAACACAAAAAAACCGAAAAAACATAATTCTCAGCAAATTATAAGAGTACTTGAACCCAGGATCTCAATGGGTCCAAATCCCTTCCACCTGGACATCAAAAGAGTAAGAGAGTGAGAGAAAACATATTGAGTCAAGTAATGTACCTTATTTCACCAGCCAATGATCATCCTTGATTCTCAACTTCAGAAAATTCAAGAAGATAAGATCTCTGCAGCGAGGCCTTCACGAGGTCTGTCTTGCTGGCAATTCTTTAGCTTTTTACTTGACTAAGACTTTTTCAGCCATCGGAGCCACTGGAGGGCCGACCACGTATTCCCCCTCTTCTTCAAAAGTCGCCGATTGCCGTGTACCCCCCTCCCCTCTGGTTCTCAACCGCTTCGCATTCCGGTAATGTTCTTCTCCGTCAGCTGCGCCACATCTGAGGCATTTTGTGTTTTCTAATTGGAGGAGATTCAGAGAGATCGGAATGTGTGTGTGTGTATGAGTGTATATATATAAATATATTTGTGAGATTCCGACGTTTCGGCTTTTTGGAAAAGAAATTTTAGGAAGGTGGGTTCTCCCAAATCTGATGTGGGCCGGCCCAGATTTTTTTTGAATTTGGTGTTCATCATTGGACGAAATGGCTACGCCCAAAAGAAACTGCAAAAATGAACAAATGGACCATTGGGAGGCGAAAATTCTCGACGTGAACGGTATATAGCTAATCATTGCAATCGAAGTATCAATGTATTTAACGCATATCCTGTATTATTTGCTGAATATTAACGTGTTAGTACTGACATCGACATTACATCGGTTTGCAAATATTTTGTTTCTCGAGTGAACGGTAATATACTAATATTGCAATCGAATATCAATGGTATTAACGCCATATATATTATTGTGAATATAATGTTAGTACTGACATGACATTAACATTCGGTTGCAATATTTTGTTCCCATTGGAATATCTTCAAATAAAATGTTAATTTAAAACGTCAAATGATATTTGAGGGCTATTTAGTAATTTACATTTTGTAATTTTTTTGATCCACCCGATACGTTAAATAATAATGTTATTCTATATATATTTTGTTATCTCTTTGTGGTGCTCAATTATTGAGACAGCCAATCAAATACTTAGAACACACAAAAACACTTATTATATATTGCATCATATATATTACAAAATCATTAAATGAATTTGACAGCATAAGGCTTTGCTTTCAATTAACTCAACGTCATGTAAGAAACTGAAGGCTCGATTGGAAAGAGTTTGCTGCCATTTTTTACTATTGTATGTCTATGTAGCAGTTTTGACATCTTCTTTGAAAATGCTTTTCGGAGAAATTGCAAAAATAAACAACTTCTCCCAATGAAGATCCAATTGTTGCCAATGAAGCATAGTTTTCTACTATGAAAAAGTTGAGGTTTCACTATAAAACCAGTTAGCAATATGAAAAGGAGGTCAACTTACTTATAAGTTCATAAAAAATCTTCCTATGGTCAATGTGAAATTCATTTTTAACATCGTTTATGTGTAGACATGGAAGCACATAAATTTGAAAGAAGTAGAAATGAGCTATTTATAGTTAATATAATAAGCAAACAAACTATAGATCGTCACATATAAAAATGTGGAGCAAAAGTTGATGAAGTATAATTATATATGCATTGCAAGTGGCCTTTACCATAATGGTGGAAATGTATTGAGGTTGTCACGTTCCGATCCCAACATACGTCGAAAATCGACACGTGACAAGGAAAATAATGTTCGTTGAATACGGTATAAGATACGGAATGAAATACTTTAATTGATAACCCAAAATAATGTGAAGGTGGCTAAGTTCTCCACAAAATATTTACAAATATGTACATCCCAAAAAAAAAAGCATAATCTTTGCTTTACTAAGAACAAGTATGAGGTGTTCAAAAGAAAATCTCAAAAGATAAAGTATAAGAGTGAAACAAGGGTAACCTAATGCTCCAAGTCTTTGATAACTGCACTGCTACCCCCACCTACAAACTTCTCAGAGTCTACTCAAACCTATCACCTGTACGATCAGTGCATACACCATCGAAATGGTGCACCAGGCAAACAACAACCTGGATAAGTTGCGAAGCTTAGGAGAGTGACAATAATATCAAGTATGTGATAATAATGCTAATGCCAACCATCAAACACAGTTTACATATCTTGAATATAAATCATTCATAAGAAATCAATACCAACTTTTGTAAACCCCGAATGAGTCACCCAGACATCCAACAGTTCGTCTGAAACCAATCACAAAATCTCACAACCATCTTCTCATACAACACAATAAAAAGTAGAGTTACAGCGACACAATTTGGCCGAAGCCTACACCTTTGAAGTCATCACAATTCAAATTCAATAAATCCCGAGGTGAGTATGATTCCGGACCACCACTCAACGGAATCGCGAAATATGAGGGATTCCAGACCATCTCTCAACGGAATCCAAGTGGATACGATTTCGGACCCTCACTCAACGGAATCGCTAAATACAATACGTAACAATAACTAAATGAAACCCAATTTAGATACGATTCTAGAACATCACACAACAGAATATCAGAATAGAAGGGATTCCAGACCATCTCTCAACGGAATCCAAGTGGATACGATTCCGGACCATCACTTAACGGAATCGCAGAAGACCAACAAACAGAATGTACGGCAGCTTAAAGAAATGAGACAAGCACATGCTACTTAATTTACAAAAACTCAACAAAGGGAGATTAGACACAATTACTAAATTTAGAACCAATCACTGAAGCGGCAGGTGAAACAATATCGAAGCAACAAATCCCCATCATAATGGTTAATGGTCATTACTAGTCCTTACATTAATTTCAACATGCCAATCATACAAATCAAACCACATTTCCAATATACATGCCACACCCCATTTCATAAACATAAATTGATGTCGAAGTATTGGAATAACAATTCAATAGAACA